GTCACATAGAAAAGAACCTAGAACTTTAAGTGCTAATGGGAGCCCACCAGCATAAGAGACTACATCTTTTGAAAGCATCTCATAATCTTCTATGGGTCTGTGATCCAGAGGTGCATGCTTGTAAAAGAGCTTAATAGCCTCATCATCATTTAACAAGCTGATATCGTATATCACGTTTACTTTGCGAGCATTTAACAAATGCTTATCTCTCGTTGTGACTATTATTCGGCTTCCTTTACCAAACCAAGCAGCTGATCCAGCTAACTCCTTTAGCTGGTCAGCATGATCCACATCATCAAGAACCATCAGGACCTTTTTACGGCGGAACCTACTCTTTATCAAGCTTCCTACATCTCCAACTACTTCCTCTCTTTTTTGTTTCAAAACAACTGAGAGAATTTCTTTTCGCAAATTTGGCAAACCCTGTTTTCTTGATTCTTCCCGAACATCTTTTAAAAAGCAGGAACCCTCAAAGTTGCTAGAGATTTCATCATAAAGAGCAGATGCAAGTGTAGTCTTGCCACCACCCCCAAGCCCCCATATGCCTACCATCAGTACACCATCTGATTCCATTTCCATCTTAGATTTCAGATCTTGCAGGCGAGCCTTTATTCCAATCAGGTCTTCATCGTCACTTGAAATTTGCGCACACAATCTATTTGAAATCGTCTCAACAATTTGTTTGATGAATACTGTCTCGGGCCTGGATATTGGTATACAAGGAAAATTAATAGATGCTCTAACTGAGAAAAGAGGTAATCTGTTCACTTATTTAGATTTAACTAGTCGAATAGAACATTTGTAGGACAGCCTAATTTTTATCATGCATTTTCCTTGTTCATCACTTTAATACTTCCAGTTATGTGTTTCAAACAGATGATTCCTCCGAAAATATACATTTCTTAATGAATTTTTATATAGTACAACTGTACAAGTACAATTCTACTCATAGTTTATAGTTGTTCTCTAAAAACATAAAAAGGCTTTGGCTTTATCCTTTGGAAGCTTACAAGTAGAATTAGGTTGTAGAGTACAAACAGTTGAAGCATAAGTTTTTAAAAACAAAGAATAAGATTACCCATTAGCGACGTATCCAGATAGGTTCCCTGCATCCGCAAGTGCTTTTCTCCAAGATTCAACGTTTTTGTTCTCAGACTCATGTTTGGCAAATGCTTCCCCATATTTCCTTTTTTGATTTCGGAGCTCAGAGGGATCCATGTGATAGAAAATGGGCATAACTATTTGACCTCTCTCATCCTTGCATTTCATAATATGTGCAAGTTCTTGCAAGCACCAACAAGAATCGGCATAGTTTTCAGAGAATACGATGACAGCAATCTGTGATTCTTCAATAGCCTTCAAAAGCGATGGACCGATGATTTCCCCCCGAGGAAGTGTTTGGTCATCCTTGTATGTGAAGATTCCTTGTTGTACAAGAGCCGAATAAAGATGATCCACAAAAGTGTCGCGAGTGTCTGTTCCTCTAAAACTGAGGAAAACATCATGATTCCACGATTGCATAGAAGAAGATGCCATTGAAATAACGTTGACTTGTTTAGAATGGATTGGATGCTACAAGAAGGTTGAAGAAGATGCCAACAAAGCTGTCTTTTAATTTGATGGGATTGGGAGGGTGGAGAGAGGAAGTTTCTCTTTCACATTGGATTAATTTTTTATTATCTCTGCATCGATATAACAATTCAGATATAATTGTGCCAACTGCCAACTGTCACACGAATATATAATGTTGTCATTTAATAAAATTATATAATTTTGTAATGATGGAGGGAAGTATAATTTATATAATCATGTTATTTTCCTATTATTTTTCTTTACTTATAATATATATTATATTATAAAGTATTTGATAAAAACTCTTAAAAACCATTTTTATGTATAAAATACTGTTTAATGATGCATATTACTTAAAACTCAAGATTGCAAATAGATTTTGCGTAAGTACAACTTATTAAAGCTCCATATCTGAATTCGTGTAACTAACTGCAGATAAACATAATCATATACGGGTTAAACATCTCATTTTAAATATAAAAAATCTAAAATATAATTATAATAATCATTGAGTTCTAATTGAATACTTAATTATTATCTTTATAAAATTTATA